AAGAGGAGCTATGTCGTCCGCATACTCCAGCTTTGACAGTCGGTCGTCTGGCAAAATTCCACTCCAACAATCTAAAAGAACCGAGTCAAGCAAGATCATTTCGGTCACATAGCTGTAGATGGAGATATGGGACAACTCTGGCGAACACCATTTGTTGTGAAGAACTCAGGAAGGAGTTTTCTGTAGACGCTTACACGACCTCGGGAATCACGGTAGAGACTTAAGTATGGAAACGTTTAGCTGGCACGCCCTTCATGGACAGGCAATGCCACAAGTTAACGCAGTCAACAGAGTGGAAGGCAGCTTTCAAATCAAGGAAAACCACAATAGTCGGTCGCCTGTATGTGTGTCTCTGCTCGAAAACCTTACGAAAAGTAAATATGTGGCTGATGCAAGCCCGACTAGGGCGGAAACCAGCTTGGTTTTCAGTGATTCGGTTCTCACGGGGACCAGTAAGTCGTCGAAGAATGATAACCGCAAGAAATTTTGACGCAAGGGAAATAAGGCCAATGCCTCGATGATTTTCGCACATAGTGCGCTGACCCCTCTTGAAGATGGGTGCGACAGTTGATATTCGCCAGTGTTCTGAATCCTGTATTGTATGTAACTCATGCATAGTAGATGAGACCGTCGCATATTAGCCCTGAAGGAAAAACTGTTTTGGAAGCGTGGTCCAAAAACGATTTCTTAGTGAAAGTGCACGCACATCAAGAAAAACACGACAATGACCGCGCTAAAGCAGAAACCATGATGGGGGCAAAAGTGCACAAAGAACTTCGGGTTTACATGAATATATGCAGCAGTGCAAGTCCTCCATCACCATGAAAAACACAACTACCCACTGCTCATGAGAAATCCAACGTTTGACGGATATTTTGTCCTGAATAAAAACAGAAGTGCACAAAATCTATCTATCCATTTACTCCGAAATTATTAATCTCATCGTTTTCTGTTTTTATTAAGCTAAGATTGCTTTGGCCGCAAAATACTGACTGTAGCAACCTCAAATGTGCCAATGTGGGGACGAAACCGAGTTTCCAGATAATCTGATTGTCATCCAATAGACAAGTAAAATTTCTAGCCTATAACAGAATAAGATATATGGTGATGTGAAAAATTCCAGCATCACCAAGAATCCTAGTATTGTGAGAGTTGCCACTCGCAATTTATCCATATGCGAGATTGTAAACAAAATTGTCTTCACCGTTTTGTTAACATACACTACAAGTGTGGTGCCATCCGAAAATTGCATCCTGACTGTGGTGTCGCGTAACACTTCCTGTCGCCGGTACATGGATATGGATAACTTTCTATTTGTTGTTGCGACCTAGAAAATAACCGTGTGCATAATTTTAAATGTTAATACTTGGTTGGCAAACCGTTGGTTCTTTTAACTGTCTTAGATCTCGCAGATATTGAATGCACCAGCTGTTGGAGATGTTCGAAAGTGATTACACGGTTCCAAGCATATATAAGGGTCACAACAACATCTCTTCTGATGGTTGCCTGTTTCTTTGGTATTTATAGTGACCACAAGTATCACACCTTTTTACTTGAATTTAGATCTGAGGACTGAGCTGCTTAAACGAGTGTCCTCATCCCATCTTTCTACATCCACTCCGTGACCGCCTGCACGATGGAACGGCGCATTGTCATCCTGGAACAAATATTCTTTCTTGAATAGTCCAATAGCTGACGGCGACATACGGTTTTTGAGGATGTCCACATATTTGCGTGCAATGACCATGCCATCAATGAGATGGAGCCATAAAACTCCATTGGCCGCAATGGAACCCCAAATAATCCATTGTGGGATGCTTGACAGAGATTGGGACTAGAAACCGTCAGGCAAAGGTACTGCCATGAATCGCAGAAATGCGGAAGTGACTCTCACCACTAAATAAAACTCCCAATCCTTAGTGATCCAACATAAATGCTTTCTGGCTTATGCCAGACTCCGTTTAATTTGGGTATCAGTTGAAAGTGGTATGTTCCTGGTCTTGCAGCTGCAGATTGAATTCAAAGCACCATACTCTTACTGTTAAAGTGCACACATCTACAGAACACTTCCCCTTCTATGCCCTTAGCAACTAAGGGGATGTAAGTTTCCTGTCACCCAAGGATATCCTCAGCAACACCTAGTAATTTCGGTCAGTTGACTTCGTCGATCGATCAGATCGGAGGCTGTTATCTGTGCTTTCAGTCCGTTTGCCTTGTAATAAAACCTGATGACTATTTTGATTACAGCTAACTTTTGCCGCATTTGTTCTGGCTGAGCAACTTTCCTCATGGAACACTACTAACTTGGGCATATCTTTGTCCAGATAACTAAAAGATTTCGTGACAAGAGCTTTTGTCTGGCAAGCATGTGTTATGAGTTTGCAATAAAACTGTCTTCGCATTTATGAATATATGTGCTATTCCGTTATTGACCGGAAATGCTACATCTCTGTTGGGGGAAATTCACATTGTTTGAAAAATTGGTTTCGATCCCACTTAAACAGTTTTTGCGCACTTGTGTTTCTTTGTCCAGATAACTAAAAGATCTCGTGACAAGACCTTACTCAGCTTGACAAACGAAAGTTATAAGTTTGTACTAAAAATCACTTTAAAACGACGTAAATATATGCTGTTCTGTTAATGGACAGAAATTTCACTCTACTAGAGGAAAGTCACATGGTTTGAAAAGTGGATTTCGTTCCCAATTTCACAGATTTAAAGCATTCTACACAGACTACAGCATAGAGATTATTCCACGCAACAGTTCGTGGCAAAAACGAATATAAACATAAAAGCACTAAAATGGTGAGAAAAATTATTTCTGAGTTCAAGGTTACATTTGGATAACAAAGTCATTAAAGTACGGAATATTTTTCAAACTGATGCAGGACTTTTTCACAGCGCTGCATATTAGTAAATTTGAAGTTTTTATATAAATTCACAATATCTACCTGTCAGACTGATTAAGATTTTATCATGAGATCCTTTAAGTATCTGGAGAAAATAAGTCAAGCTGGCTGAGGCGGGTGTAGTTCCGTATGCATCACCGCCCAGCAGTTCATCCACATGAATCAATAACACAATCCCTTGTAGCCGCCCGGGCTTACTAGCGAAAACAACCTGGAATATTCTGAACGATGTCATAACCTTAAGCTTGACCTGCTCTCTCCTTTTGTCTCTCTCCATATATATATATATATATATATATATATATATATATATATATATATATATATATATATATATATATATATATATATATACTCTGATGTCCGCCAAGTACACCAGCCGCCCGAGTGCAGCAAAGCCGGTGATTCGACGGAAAACAAAAGTGGTCGAAAGTGGGATCACCTCGTTACCGCGTTTCTGATAGCGGAATGTTAGATAACATCAATTTGTGCAGCAGGAGTTTAGCTAGGTGCCTCAGGCATCAGTTACCCGTGATGAGACACGAATAGCAACACATATCAAGTATGTTTGGGGGTGTTCGTAGCATGTACAAGGTAACGGAGCCGACCTAGACTTAAATTAATATCAGTTGATAGGTTTAGTAGACTACTTCACGAGGACTCGCTAACCAGACTGACGTCACATCTCTATAACCTCGTGCATGTGGGGGTCAGAAACTGGATGCCTATATCACCCACCGATTGACATATGCAAGTTTGCCACGTCGTGACGTGGTAAGAGCCAGCAGTGATCGAAGGAAGATACTGGAAATCACCGAGGATACTTGTGCCTCTAGTTGTACTCCAACTTGAGTGGTTTTTCTGCCGATGTTTCGTTATGAGGCTAAGCAACATCATCAGCGCAGTTTCCAGGGTAACCGAATATTGTGACTATCCGGGAAAATCCATTATTTGGACAATTAATCGATTATCTTCGATCGTGCATTGATTTCGAAGATTCCGGAACCTTCCACTCCTTCACCTGATCGCCAACATACGGAGTTATGGCAGGGAGGCTACTAAGTTTACCAGTTAACTTTCGTTTTTTAGAAGCCGAAGGCCATTGAGCCCCCTATATATTTGGCGTAGGTCTGGCGGCGTTTTTGGCTATGTTGGCAGCGTTTTCGTTAACAGGTTTTTAGTAGTCAAGGTGGTTGGACTTTTGATTTTTCTTCAGCTGGGCTAGAATTTTTGCGGAGAAATTGTTGGGTGTTTAATTCGGAACAGCGAAAAAAAGTGAGGATCTAACAGTTACGTAGACAAGTGACGAGGCGCCCGTAAACATACCGCCCAGTGCGGATAAAAAACAAATCCTCATTGATTAAACTTCAGTCTCAAGGCAAGGCTTACGATTTGTGTCATGTCCACATATCTATTTGGATTGGTCGCAGTAAGAACGATGAATGGTGGCGATATTGGTCTTTGAGAAACTTTTAAAAGAAACGAAGTCGATCAGCAGATTGGACGGGGGTAATTTCATCAACGACCCAAACCATATCATGTTCGTCAATACTGTGATTTATGCGGGAAGTATATCGTTAAGCTGGTAACCCTATGACAGACGGATACAGCACAAAAAGAAGACGACTAGAAAAGTTCCTCGGAATAAGTCCAAAGAAAGTTGTGTTTGCAGAGACCATAGGCCAAGAGCATAATCCCAATGTTGATATAGACAGCGGAACGCCAACTTAACAGGAAAATATAAGTGAATTGTGTTTTGGCATTGAGCAATGAATTCACTATTGAAGAGTGCACACCCCTTGGAGTAGCGCGTGTAAGTGGTTAGCAAATAAGCTAATGAGTGACTCAAGCGTCAAGGATGATTCGCACAGAACGGTGAAAGGCGGTCTTCACTGTTTAGATTAAACGAGCTCACTTGATAGGCTCAGAACATTAATCAAGGAGGCCGGGTTCAGTTAGTAAAGTTAACCCAAATATTTCCAAACTATTAGGACCAAATATGGAAAAGATCAGAGGCGGGAAAACAAGAAACGTTCGTGAAATAACGTGAAACTCTTACCAGTGACGGAAGGACCATTAATACGCACTTACATATGCAGGTCCGCATCCAGATATTCCGGAGGATGCGTTTATCAGAGACTCCGGGATTTCTTCGAACACTTCAAAGATAGAAGAGCACAGATATTTGACCACTTTAATATCTTCTATACGAACACTCGGATCCACCGCAAAAACAGCAGTTCCTGCGCGCACTAAGCAAGGCGTGTTCGGTATAACGCGCATGAGACGGGAAGACTGTGGGATGACCTGGGTGGAACACGAGTGTAAACATGTGTTGCGGATTCAAAAGAGCCAACTGGTAAGACACTAAACAGTCATTCTTTCGTGAGATGTTGAACTGTGAACGGTGAACATTGAATCACCGGAAAGTAGGAACAAATGTAAAAGTTTTATCGTAAAGAAAAAGAAACGGGAGTTGCGCTGAAAGTCAAGTCTAGTCATGATACCTTTTATACGCCCATATTGGGGCATTTTCAGTATTATGCGCTAAACCCACGGACATCATACAACCTAGCATTAGTGCAAAATTGCAAATCGACAGAAAAATTGGAAGTGCGCTTTTACTCAATCCCACGCCCACGTAACTGGTAGTTCATTACCATGGCGTCCACTAAGAAGCGTGATTGACACGGCAAGATGGAGTTGTGATAGGATGAGGTAGCAGAAAATAAAATCTTAAATTTTGTTATCAAAGAAATGGATGTTGTACGGTGTGTAAGGAGTGAGAATCCTGGATGCGGAACTGCTACATGCATCGAAATGTTTGCTAACGAGAAAATCCAGAGTATAGAGAAATATATTTTAACGGGTGCATAAGGGTAAAACGAATTTGAAGAAATCAATGGAAACCAACAGAGGATGTATGGCTGTTAGGGAGTGTATAGGTAGTTACAAAGCTTAGAATAAAAGAAATGGGTACGGAGAGTCATTTGAACTCTATAACGTAAAAAGGCGGTCTTCTGACTGGATAGTTTCAAAAATATGTGTGAACCGAGATATTTTTTGAACGTGAGACAGATATGTTTTGGTCACCCATGTTCAAAAGATAGCTAAAAGGAAACGCAGTCGGTCGCGATGGAGAAAAGAGAACGCTACACCACAACAAGTGCCAAGAGTGAGGGACCGGGAGACCAGCCAAGTCACGAGTCTGTCTAATTTGTGTACAAGTTTCGAAGAGTTATCAATAAAATAGGACTAAATGCCCTACGACAACAGTTTATTTATATCCGAGGGAATTGGATAGTACTGGAAGACCTTCTATCTAGAGGGAATATAGTAATGCAGATAGGATAGCTCCCTGCAAAAACCCTGCTTGAAGTGCAGAATACTTTCCACAAAGTAGCTGCGTGATTTGTGAAATAATCACTCGTTGTATTACAAACATATAGGAGGCACGATTTCCGAACAAAAGGTTTTGCAGTAATGCTCTGTCTAAGCAACCGAGGAACGGAAACCGTACGGTCTTGCATCTTTTATCCAACACAGATCCAGTGGAGTATAAAAAGTACGAGACAGCATCCAGCGTATATCATCCTTGATTATAGACAAACTGTTAAACATATCAATCTGATTGCCTGTGAAAATGCGGATGAGGAGTAGTTATACAAATATCTTTAAAAGCACGGACGTGCACGCTAGTGGCCGGCACTACCGTGACTCCTTAGGCACTGGTGTTATTCTGGATTCTTTCCAGATGTCGTGGATGGTACCAGCTGTTAAACGTTGGTCAAGAATCGCTGGCACAAGTACCCACAATCACCTTTAGAGATTCCTGATATGACTACTGAATCACTAGCGTTAATTACCTTAAGTATTGTGAGTTCCCTGTAAAGACTGGTGTGGTCAAAAAGATGCAACGATCAGTGATGGAGAAGAAGGGTAGGGTGAATATGTCAGGTGATGAGGAGCTAAACTCTGGTTTGAGTTCGTCTACATCCGCGTTGCCAATCGGTCGGCAGAAGCGTTTGCCAGTGGATTCCTTCAAGAGTCGCCACAGACCATGTTAACTGTGGTTGCCTAAAACGGCCTCAATATACAGCTGAAACAAGTCCGTGAGGACAGCAAAATCTCTTCAAATACGACAGCGAATTTCAGAAGCTAAACGGCCATCGATGCTAATAGAGTGAATTGATTAAATGCATCCAGATCGTCATAATCAAGCGTCAAAGGATAAAAAATGTCAGTTGGTTATGCAACAGCAGTCTCACTTGTGCGAAGTGCATAAGATAATACGATCCCTCGGCAGTGATTGTTTACGCGTGACTGTTTCATTTCGAGTTTGTCGGAAGGTAAGCCGATGTCCTTTGGACAATCTAAATCAGACTTTTGTCCCCCAGGTAAGATCACAACGCCGACCTCACGATTCTCCACAAAGGAACAATCCACAATCGTAACCACAATGAAACAGAGTGGAAACAGAGTCTTGACTAAAATCATTTGTTATAGGAAAGTCGTACGATAATTCACCGCAGGTCATGGTGGGACTTAAGCAGTCGGAGTCCATGATGTCCAAAAGTCTCACCTATAATATAAGAACATCTTATCGGAATTTATCAAACAGAGCGAACCGGTCGACCGGGTGATATTAAAATTGAGATACACACATGTGGTCGGACTGCAGTACATGAAGCACTGGTGTGCTACGAATCGGAGTGCAAATCTGACTTATTCAGTCGCATCCCGATTAGGAACCTGCTAACCCATGGTCAACACGAGATCCCGTTTTGCATTAGGAATAGACAAGAACAGCTGGTGATGACTTCGTCACTGATACAATAGATTAGCACAGAAGTAGGGCCACCGAACGCGCGTAATTTACATAACGTTCCATCTATGTCAGATGACGAAGGATGTATGTGGCTTACCACAAGAACACTAATGCATGCAACACATCGGAGTAGCGACGCCAATTACCACCGGAAAAACACGTCTACTTAATTTATGCATGCTAGCCTTACAAGACCAACACCGCAGTTTGAACAGCTAATGGGAAATGGCCATAAATGTAAGTTCACTGTGAGCCCAGACTGCTCACCTTCGCCCATTACTCCAATACATGCGCTAGATTCTGAACCAGGTCGCAACCGCATTTGCGCAGCCACTAGTAATGACGCGCGCACAACTGTGGAAAATAGTGAATGGCCGACTTAACAGGTACATACGCTTGTATAAAGTACGGGGTAGTGGTTGACAGTATCCATGTTTGGGTTTGCTTTTCACCAACTCATGCTATCTAAATGCCATCGCCTCTGCATCGATGATAACACCTCGAATGATGATGAAACGTCTGCGATTAACTTGCCCAGCTCGGTAAACACCACAACAACTAAATAAGCCTCAACCTGCCAGTATTCCAAGTAACTTAGAGGTGATGAAAATATTTTAGTAGAGCAAAACAACCATGCCACATTGAGCAAGTCTGACGTAATCTGCTCTGTGACGATCACTGCAAAATAAATAAAAGAATGCAACAAAGACGTATGAAGGCTTTAACGATTAACAGAGCAAGTGAGGTTCTCATTTCACATCAGTGTAAGCTATGAACAAAATCATGATGCTCTTATCGAGGTGCCCTGGCTCAACCCGTCTCGCACACGAGGGTGAAGTATCCAACGTAGTTAAACACAACACCTAATCGAGTATCTATTCTTTTGCGAAGATTCGTCATAGCCAGACTAAGTTAGACAGCCAGCACACATCGGAAAAATAGCCAGACAACCACTTCTTTTGGGATTCGTCAGTAACGCGCATCGACCCGATCCTGCCGAGTCCGAACTCATAGCTTTTCGCTTTCGAGCCAGTGCCTGGGTCACCGAGCTACGGATGACGGCGACGAAGCGCTACGACTTTTTTCTTACTAACACCGCCGTCGCTATGTATGCTCTGAAGGCGTGGACGACAGGGTAGGCTCAAGAACTAAGAATTCATGTACAAGCCGCCACCAACCGAGATGGCATGTAAGCTACTAAGGCGATTACTGTTTATTGTGGGTAAGTAGGGTTTTCTATGCTTCATTTTCGAGGATTTGTCGAAACTAGACTGTCGGAGAGCCACTACACATCACGTCTACACGCCAAGAACAGGGGAAGCTGGAGATATGCGAACTAATGGCATGTAAACCCCGGTTGGAGCGATCTCATCACAAACACGACAGCGTGAAACCGATTGAGAGTCGTCAACTTGCCGGAAGACAATGAGAGTACAAGCACTTACCTACCGAAGTTGCTTCAAGGTAGCACCAGCAACCACCGAAATAGTCAATTTATTGTCAAGAGACGGTGAGTTTTCGCTCATTACAGATTGGATAACCTTTGGCTTCACACAGGCGAAACTTATGTTGCTCTTCTTGGCCATGACATCTTTGGGTTGTAAATACTCAATCCCGAATTGCTAAGGGTAAATAAGGTGGGACCAATGAACGTAATGGGTTAAGTATCGTACAAATGAAAGGGACTAAAACTGCTAATTTTTATACGCTCCAAACGAAGATCAACGTCAGAATATAATCAAAGTAAACTAAATTAAAAGCGAAGCATCGCAGTAATGAAGAATAATGACATCGGAGTTATGCGTTTAGCTAGCAGCTACACCTATCGTTTCAAGTTGCAAGGATAAGGAATTACCTTGAAAAGCTGATGAGATAGAAGTGAAAATCAAACGATGAAACATAGTGAATGCAACCAGACGTGTTGTGTAACAAGTAGTTAGACAGCCGATACCATACAAAGAGAGCGAAACTTCGAACAGGAAAGCACTACCAGTGATTCACTACAGCGTCACAATAGGTTTGCGGAACTGGTGTTCAAAACGTTCCACTTGACGATTTACTAAAGCCGACTTAAATTGGATCATATACCCATTTTCTCTGACTTTTGACTCACTATCAGAAAGTAACCTTGGATCAGTGATGCGGGTAAGTCAGCCGTTTCAAATCGCAACAATGTTGTCCGCATCATGGGTCACCGTCATTCATTGGCGCTAATGTGAAATGCTAAGATCCCTAGTCGTATGCCATTTTAGTGTGCTAAAGAAACTCCAGAACCTGATGTGTTTCAGCCAAATTAATAGGTGTGGTGGGATGTCCCATGTTGAGGGGATAAGGTTATCTCCATTGCCCACCTGTGACACTACGGTGTTGTCGGAATCCAAATATGTCCCTGATCGACCGATAAATTAGAGCCAAGGTGAACCATCTGTAGCTGGTGACAAGATAGTCAACCTGT